GTCAGCAATTCCCTGTACTTCCGGACGGAAGCGGGAGAGCAGGCAGCGTCAATGTCGGCTGGTCGAGGGAGGAGAAGGTCGGCGAAGATCCGGGCTTTCCGTCCACCGTGGTGCAACTCGAATGGAGTCACGCCGATCGCCGGATGCACCGAAGTGTTGTAGGCGAACTCGATGTCGGGGAGGCGGTCAACCCAATCTTTCTGGTCCGGACGGACGAGCGTACGAAGCATCATTTGAGCGGTTTGATGTGCCCGCTCCGTCTCCCTGTCTGTCTGTGGATGCCGAGCCGAACTTGGTTTCATCGTCGTGTCGGACTCCTGCATGAGCGCACTCCAAAATGCTGACATGAAACGAGTGTCGCGGTCGCTGACTATGTCTTCTGGTACACCATGGCCACAAATCCAACCAGTGTGCAAGAGGCGTGCCAGCTCGGGAGCCGTGGAGTAGTACTTGCAAGGGAGAGAACGCGCGTACTTACTCAATCGATCCACAACCGTGAGGATTCCGTCGTGCCCGAGCCGGTCGCGGGGAAACGGACCGGTGATGTCCATGGCAATGGAGAGACCAGCTTCCCGTGGGATAGGCATCGGGCATAACTCGTCGTAGGGATTGCGGTTGCGGGGCTTGCTGCGTCGGCAAACTTCACAAGAGTCGCAATACTGAGTGACATCGGTAATGAGATCGGACCATCGGAATCGTTGTCGAAGCCGTGCAATAGTGTGGTTGACTCCGAAATGGCCGGCGAGTCGTGAATCATGATACTCGCCGAGGAGACGAGTCCGAAGACGGCGGTCGCGTGGGACACATAGTAAGTCCTTGCCTCTCGAGTGGAGGAGCAAGTACCCGTCGGCAATGCGATAGTGGCTGGCCGGCGGGTGATCCGAAGATAGTTGTGCATACAGCGTGGCGAAGTCCGGATCAGACTCATATGCCCGGATGAAGTGTCGCTGAAGCTCCTCGTCGAATGAGAAGGCATGATGTGTCATAGCGCAAAGATCAGGTCTTCGCGAGAGTGCATCTGCTGTGCGATTTGAGAGGCCGGGAAGATGTTTCGGTGTGAAGTCAAACTGGTTGATGAAGTACATTCATCGTCCGATCGTGCTGCTCATCGTATCCTGCGTCTTGTAGTAGGTCAATGGATTGTTGTCCGTAACCCATGTGAACCTACGACGCCCAAGGAGGAAGTGCCGCCATCGCTTGAGAGCCATGACAAACGCAAGYAGCTCCTTCTTCCTTGCATCATCAAGCGAGTTGATGGGAGGCACTTTGTGGCTGAAATACTCCACAGGGTGCCAGTCGTCGCCGTCGTGCTGTTCCAAGACTGCCCCAATGCCATAGCCGGAAGCGTCCGTAGTCACTCTCGTCGGCAAGGTGGGGTCATAGATGCTAAGGACGGGTGCCATGAGCATAGCCGTCTTAAGTGCTTGGAATGACCGGCGTGCGTCGTCATCGAATACGAATGGCACCTTTGGCGACTGTAACCTCGTCATAGGTGCAGCAATCCTGGAGTATTCGGTAATGAATCGCTGATAGTAGCCCGCCAATCCCATGAATGAAGGAACGTCCGTGGTGTTGGTGGGCTCGGGCCATACTCGTAGGGCCTCGATCTTGTCCGCGAGCGGACGAATGCCTTGCGGCGTCACATAATGGCCCAAGTACTCCATCTCCTGCCGCGCGAATTCACACTTGTCGCGGTTGGCTTTGTACTTGGCCTATCGTAGCCGCTCCAAAACAGTGCGCAGGTGTTCCACATGCTCCTCCAAACTCTGGCTGTACACCAGGATGTCGTCGAGATAGATAAGTACGTATCGATCCAGCATGTGTCGGAACGCCGTTGTCATAGCCGCTTGGAAAGTGGCCGGGGCATTCGTAAGGCCAAATGGCATAACCAGTCATTCGAAATGCCCATATCACGTCTTAAACGCGGTCTTGTAACGGTCCTCCTTGCGAATCTCGAGTTGGTGATATCCCGACTTGAGATCGAGCTTGGAGAAGAACTTGGCACCGCCCAGTCGCTCGAGAAGATCGTCGATGCGTGGGAGAGGGCTGGCGTTTCTGATCGTCTGCGCGTTGAGCTTGCGATAATCGATGCACAACCGCAAATCCTTGTTCTTCTTCCGGACGAAGAGAACCGGAGCACCGTATGGCGATGAGCTAGGCCGAATCCAGCCTTTCTCCAGAAGGTCGTCGAGCTGTGCCCGAAGCACACTTAACTCTTCCTCGCTCATTCGGTAGATGCAACCGCGTGGAGGTACGGCCCCGTCCTCGAGGATGATCTCGTGGCGGATGGGCCGATCCGGTACTACTCGGTGCGGGCCTTCGAACATGTCGCTGTAGGCGTCGAGAAGCTCGATGATGCGTGGATCCGAAGGTGAGTCCGTCGATGAAGCGTCATGGGGCGGGAGGGCGTGGAGAAAACACGCCCACATCTCCTCGATGTCGTCTCTGATGATGGAAGCTCGCATGCTTGGGGCGGATACCACGTGGCAGCTGATCGAAGGATGAGGAAGAGGTACCGTGCATGAAACTAATACTCCGTTCCAATCACGAATGTAAACGGTGCGGTGGAAGAAGTTCACCGGATGATCCTCGCTTCGCAGCCATGACATGCCCAAGATCATGTCAAATTTGGTGTACAGAATGTCAAAGGACACCGCCTCACTTGCGTGAGGGGCAAAGTACACTGGGACGTTGTCAATGCACCGGTCGATGGACTTGTGCGTATGACCGTCCGCCAACGTGACTTGCGTAGGCTGGGACTTCCTCCGGGCGCGTGGGCCAAGGCCGGCGCGCACCATGAAGTCCTGGCTGATGTAGTTGCGAGATGCTCCGCAATCGATCAAGGCGTTGCAAGTCGCCTCTCCGATCTGAATGCGTACATATAGCAATGGTGCGTCGATGTCGTCGTACCGTTGCGTCTTGAACTCGCGGTCGATCTTCGCAATGTAAGCGTGAAGGTCGACAACCTCTGCTCCGACGTCCATCAACGGAGTTGGTCCTGCAGTGTGCAAGTAATCTCGCAGCTGTGCCATAAGCACATTGCAATGCGGTCTCGGCAATCGTCCGGTCGAGGGAGCGGGCATCCACTGGAAGTCCGTGAACGTCAGTGGGTCGAGCACCTCAAGTCTTGAACACGACGATGAATCCCCGGCGATAGATGGCGGCGAAGCTGCCGAATCGGTTGCCGATGGTGATGAAACCGTGCATGCGGTAGATTGTTGCACATGGAGCGGTTGGTCCAGCGGTGGAACCAAGTGGACAGCATAGTCCTCGTAAGTGTAACGAGTACCTGCGACATTCGCATCTTCCCCAAATGTGCAGGAGGCCGCTAGCAAGGCGGCCGAATCTGGCGGAGTAGAAGGTGGAGTCGCCTCACCTTCCGCGGAACTCAGTTTCCCGAGTTGAGGCGGGGTCACACATCCTCCTTGCCCTGATCYTGGCACAGGGAGGTCTTGTGCTTGGTGCTGTTGCCCCAATAGCAGCTGCTGTAGCGGCCATAGACCTTGTACTCCGCCTCGGTCAAGCCGAACTTGACCCATGGAACTTGTACTGGCTGTCCATTCCCGGCCTGCGATGCGGATTTCGCCTTCCCATTGTTGCGGGACTTGTTGTTGCTTCGCGGCTGGACAGCAGCCACCTGATCTCCGTCACTTGATGCTGGACTGGCTGCTGGGTTATCTCCATTGTTCGACTGGACTGTAGCGAACTGTTGCTGTCGCGGACCAGTTCGTACCTTCTCCACATAGGTTGGCTGCCACGTGGACTTCTCGTGCACAGCGGCCCTGTTGGTCTTGATGAGCTCTCTCGCCTTGTTGATTATCTTCGCGAAAGTGCTGTACTGCTCGCGATCACCAAGTGCGAGGCTGAGAGCGGCGCATGACCTGTTGTAGAACTCAGGCCGCAGATGCGGAAATGGCAAGTCCAAATCGGGCGTTGCCACGATCTTCTGCCAATCCGTGAGCCAGAGAGCACTGATGAACAGATGGTCAGGGACCTCCTGAATCCCCAACTCCGTTGTAAATCCTTGCCACCAGACGACCGGGTCTTGATGTGTGTAGTCATCAAATTTCTCGATCCGGAACGTCGGCATCTTGTATGGCCTCGCCGAGCTGTTGTTGTGGTTGTGGTCGGTCTGCTGTTGCTGACTGATCTTGGTGTCCAGCAGCTCGAACCGCTGGCTGATGGTGGCCGGCTCTATGAAGGCACTTATGTCTCCTAGCATTGCCACTACGTGGTCAACGCGTTCCTCCAGTTGGCGGCTAGAGGATGCACTGCTGGAAGCCCCAGCATCTGGTCCTGGTACAGCCTGTTCCAGGTCCAGTACACGGGCGTCCAGTGCCCGTGTGGCATCCTCGTGTTGAGTCTTATGGTTCCGCACGGCCCGCTGGAGGTTCGCCAGCTCAGACTGTAGGTGGTTACAAGTATAAACCAACCTGGTCACGAGCTTGGCCATGAATTCCTTATGTTGTTCTTCCGGTGTTGCCTCGTCGCCGTTCGGTTCAAAGTGCCAGTACTTGAGTCTGTCGATGCTACTGGCTTCATGACGCTGCAGCAGATCCTGGGCTTCCTAGCGGCGAGCCTGGGCATCTGCGTCTGCTTCGGCCTGTAGCCGCAGCTTCTCTGCTGTTGCCGCTTCTTCAGCCTGTAGCTGGGCAGCCTTGTCTGCCAGCTGGCGTTGTTCCTCAGCCTCGATTTCAGCGAGCTGAGCCTGGAAGCGCTTTTTGTAGTCGGCAATGGCTCATTGGCCAGTTGGCCTGGCAGGCCCGTCATGTTGCTGACGTGGCTCTGCTGACGTGGCACTGTGTCTGACGTGGCAATGTGTCTGACGTGGCACTGTGTCTGACGTGGCACTGTGTCTGACGTGGCACTGCTTACGTGGCACTGTGTCTGACGTGGCACTGCTGATGTGGCACTGCTTACGTGGCACTGTGTCTGATGTGGCACTGCTTACGTGGCACTGCTGATGTGGCACTGCTTACGTGGCACTGTGGCTGATGTGGCACAGCTGACGTGGCACTGTGTCTGACATGGCACTGCTGATGTGGCACTGCTTACGTGGCACTGCTGACGTGGCCTGCTGACATGTCACTGTAAATGACGTGTCACTATTGACGTGGCCTGCTGACGTGTCACTGTAGCTGATGTGTCACTGTACCAACCCGGAAATGCATGCAAAGGGTGGGTGGGAGGGAAAACGCAGGTAGGAACCAACCCAACAATACTTTCCTTCGACCCTAATCAACAGATAAAAAATAAAATAAAAAAATAAAAGAGGACTACTTCCTTTTTTTTATATTATGAGTAGGACATGTCAGAAAAGTACTATGACCGAGATCTAGGCTAGGTTCCGCAAAGTTTCGGCTTTTAGACACTGCGATCTTGAAATTTTTTTTGCGAAATGGAGTAAAGATGCGATTTTCAGAAAAGAACGAAATCCAGTTTCTGAGAATATGCAACCTTCGAATATGCCTAACGCAATATTGGTAGGCTTCGCAAGATTTCGGTTTTCAAAAAAAAACTTTGCGAGATAGAATGGAAATTCGGTTTTCAGAAAAGAATAATTCAGTTTCCGAGAATATGACCACTTCTATCGTTATCCCAATATGCCTAGAGAACGAAAATACTAACTTCAGAAATTTCAGCTATGTATGCGAAATATCAGAGAAACGAAATGCTACTATCGGGAATTTTCAGACAAAACGAAATGCGATTTATCAGAAATTTTCAGATATTTGTTACGTAAAACGAACTACTAATATCAGAAATTTTGAGGTAAAACGAAATGCGAATATCAGATATTTCAGATAGTTGTTGCGAGAAGAAAAAAAAAACTCAGAGATTTGACTAAGTCCTACTTGCGTTACTAATGAGTGATCACTAGATCAGCAAGCTGGCTACTTGATTGAGCGGGTCCTCTGAATGAGAGGTCCGCTCCGATACCAAACTGTTGCATACTGTAACGTGCAGACCAGAACAAGAACCGACCTCTCAATACAAAGTACAAGATAACACAGCGGAAGACTTAGATACGAATGATCCGAACC